TTTTTTTTTTTTTTTTTTAAAAAAAACATTGCCCCACACTAGGATTATCTCCTGTGTCGTGGGTGCGTTTACAAACATTCAAGTTCACATACACATGACACCCAGACCCGAAACAACAATTTGTGGATTACACAAAGTGTTGCTCCGTGCGGGAATCGAACCCGCGGCACATTGCACGGCAGCCGGTTGCCCAGCCACCGCACCAATCGTGCAGTCGAAAACTTGCGACCACTCGGTCAACGAGGCAGTCATAAGTTCATATTATGTGTAAATACTTATTCCGTAGACTAGCAATTAACTTAATCATCAACAACATCAACATCTTCACGTTTAGCAAGCGGCTTGGAGATCACAATTGAAAATAATCAGGTGTACCAGAGAACACTGCTGCCGAGAACCTAATATATCATTTATCCCCGAATATGTGCACCTCTGCTTATCCCAGGCAGAGGTGCACATTACGGCACTTAATATCACTGTACATAGTAACACCCACTTTTCACTATTTAAGTTATGAGTCCCATGTAATATAGGGTGAGTCTATTGCCGTCTACGGGGCACAATTCCAAGCTCCTACTGAGTGAGAGTTACTACTGAGATATTTTAAAAAATCTAGTAGGTAACACTGCTGTCAGTTCTCTTGTAAATAATAAAGTCCCTCAGCCGAACTTTCGATAGTCGATAGAGTACGGATAATGAAATATATATTCTACTATGCCGTCATCACCAGATGAGTAGCAATTTAAAAAAAACATCTCAATTTCGCAAAACTTAAGACTTAGATTATAATTTTATATTGGAAAAGTGTTTGCCGATTATAATTCTATAACTCTACCAAACTAGCAATTTGCAGAGAAAATTAAAACGCAACTGATGCGCCGCGCCACGCCTGTATGCGGAGGAATTTTCAGCGCATTTAAAATGTGCGTCCATAAAATCAGTTCGGTAAAAATATGATACGACTATTATTATGAGTTAAACCTTCAAACTTAATTAAGACTGTAAATAGGTTTAGGTATACTATTTAACTCGTTGAGTACCATCATTATAGATACAATTAAGGAACAATAGATTGCGGACCGCTCGGTGTCTGACAGTTTAAATTGAATTTGACGATTAACTAATGGTATTTTTGTTAGTTTTCGTTTTATCTTTTATTATTCATTGTTTTAGTTAATTTTCAGTTGTATATAATTTATTCATAATCATATTATTAAAGTTTATTACTTGTGTAATAGGCTTGAAGATTGTCTTAGTGGGTTCTCAGGGCGTGAAATAAAGTTCGACACACGAATGACTGTAAAATGTTGTATATTGGAATAAACTTTAAGCTATATAAACAAAATTGCACAATAATACAATGGGATAAAACATAAACTCAAATATTCGCGGCACAAATACGGAGCGCGTGCGTCACGGCTCCGGCGCGGGACTCGTTGTTCTCTTCTCTTGCGTTCTTGCAAGCGTCGAGCGGTCAGTGGCGGGGGAAGCGGAGGACGAAGAATAGTGAGGTGACCGTGATGCCACTAGAGTTGCGCGCGTGCGTCCGACACAAACCTAAATCGAATTGTCGCGTTACACTTGTAAATAAAAGGTTTATACCTGTCTATACCTTATATAACGTTTTAAGTTCATCTTCTTAAACGGTAGTACCCTTTTAATAAAAACTTAAGTAATATCTCTGTAAAGAACAATAATTGATGGTCCTCGTATTCAACATGTATCAAATTCAAAATACAAACAATAAATAATAATGGAAAAAGTTAAAAATAATTATTTTAATCAATCAATGTTGTTAATCGTAATTACTTTAATCATTTACCTGCAGCCAGAACGTGATTCATTAGGCGTATCCCTATCTATGTGACTCAGAACCCACTTGATATATAGACAGATACATTTTATATATAAAGTATAAAATTAAAATATACACAATAATTTTCCAAAATTAATCTTCTCAAGATATCATCAGCAATTTTTGTTATCTTTTCATTGAAGTCAAATTTGATGATTTAACACGTTAAACGCCATGGGGGTCACCGGTGACCGGCGTTAGCGGAGGATTTACCTTCAACAGTTTTTTATTGGCAGTCAAAGTCTCGATGGCGTTGCATGACATATATTTCATATTAGGATTATTATATGAAAGAGAATAGCTTGAAAATTTGATCAATGAAAAATCATTCAGTTTATCTTATTAGTAAAATTACGTATTTGAAGATATTAATTGTCTAATTCTATTATTGCGTGTTATGGATACCTATTACTTTGTTTATCTATACGTATGTATCAAACACTAGTTTTTACCAATGGTTTGTCTTTTTCTTTCTTGAAAATAACTAGTTTAATGTGATATTGTACAGTCAACAAGGTTCTTTAAACAATTGAGCAATGAAATAACAAAAAGTTTTCTGAGTGCGTATTACATAAATAAAGACAAACAAACTAACAAACTAACTCTTCGACTTTATTATATTTAATAGGAATTCTGAACAAATGCAAATCGTCAATAGATGCAATATAAAACTAAAACTTTGAGCGCGACGCTGCATTTGATAAAGCGCATCCAAAGTTCCCAGACGTCTTAAACTCGTCTACGTTATCCACATAAACTACGTAAGTTAACCAACGAATAAAATCTAGAATTTGTAGTTTAGTAGCATTATATTCTTAACTTGAATACTAGGATTTGGCACACTTTTACCTCGGAAGAATCTCTCGAATACCCGCTATCGAATCTTGGTCCTAACTTTCAAACTGTGTTACTATAAAACTGAAACTTTAGCGTGCACTACCTATTTAAAATACATAGACTGGTTAAAAATAAAGTATTGTATTTCTTGGATCTTATCTCTTAAAAGATTACCTATATATGTATATGAGATAACAGAAATATAATTGACGCATAAATACAACGGACTTTCATTAAAACATTTGGATTTATACAATTAAGGTCTGCAGCGTGTTATGTGACGCTGTAAAATTTTGTAGGCTGCGATCCAGTTAGCAGTTAATTACAGTTATCGATTTCATGTTCATATTGTTAAAATGAAAGGTGCGAGTGCAGCTAAAATTTAAATTTTTGAAATTAATCGGGAATTCGCGCTAACGAATTTATACTATAGTATAAAATTCAGTTACTGGATTTAATGAGTTAATGAAATCGTGTTAAAGTTCATTTATGATTTTTATTTCAGAAAAAATGCCTCCTCAAGGGCAAACTGGTGGCTCCTGGGTCCTGTATGAAACAGATGCTGTGAACGTGGACACAGAGGCCCCGGTTATCGTACCTCCATCGGCCGAAAAAAGGGAATGGAAGATTGTGTGGAGAAACGTCATCCTGATGGGATTGCTCCACATCGGAGGAGTTTATGGAGCATATCTCTTCCTTACTACAGCTATGTGGCGGACGAGTTTATTTGGTAAGTGTATAAATATATCTTTTTTCTTGAGTTTTAAGAAAATGTTACCCCGCAGAAAATACTCCGATCCAAAACAACAATTCGTGATAATCAAATTAATTTTAGACACGTTTTACGTTGCGCAGCAGCCGGACTAGTCAACCACTGCGCCTACTGTGTAGTCTAAAAACAATATTTTCCTTTCTACATTTTCTTCGCTTAACTCGTTCACTAAGTAAGGTTTCAGATTTCGGGTATTAGGTACACTACAATAGATTTTCGACCTTCGTTTAAAAATAATAAAGTTGAAAACTTAATAAAGAAGATATTAAAGTAAGACCCAGCGTCTATACAAATATGTAAAGTACTTACGCAAAGTAGTTTTAATATTATTATAAACACAAAAAAAAACAAGATTTATTACAACAAGACGAGTTTGTGACGTAAAATTAAAGTTGTACACCGTGAAACAAAGATATTTTTTCTCTCTATATTTTGTTTCATTAAAAATGTTTTGGTCTGATGCGTATGAACGTACGTACAAGGATTGTTTTAGAATAATTTTGAAAATCAAGTCGGTCACCTTAAAACATCGTCAATCCTTACTCGTGTCCGAATAATTGGAAGAAAGATAAGCTCAGTTTAGATCACGCTGTTTTTGCCTGGCTAGTTCTTACCTGGCTAGTTCTTACCTGGCTAGTTCTTACCAGGCTCGTTCTTGCCTAATCGTTTTTGCTGGCTCTTGTACCGTATTTAGATTCTAGTTTTATGTAATACCTAATTATCCAACATTTGTTTTAGAAACAGGTCAGCTAACATTTAGTACGAGAGATGACGACCAAAATTTTTGTCTCATAGCAATACGGCCAAAACCGCATCAAATCGATAGATACGATTATCCTGAACTCGAAAATACCAATATCAGACATTTTCGGCGTAGCGTTTGATCAGACCGAATTTTCAAAATTGTCAAAGAATTTTACCGAACTGCATCATAGCAATATGTCTGATTTGCAGACTGTCGTTGAATGATAGTTCTGAGATACCGGAAACATATTTTTCAGATGTTAGTGGTGTAGCGCAAACCCGTAAAACCACTTAAAAAAAAATTAAAAATATGACAAAAAGAATGTCTCATAGCAATACGTCTGAAAATCTTTTTTATTAGTACATTTTGGTTATTTATGCGAACAAAACAATTTTCAGACGGAAATGTGAATGCATTAAATTTTGAGACCGTTTTGAAAATGTTAACAAATTTTACCGATCGGTATTATGGCAATATGTCTGAAAATTGTTGGACATGATAAAATAAGTTGTCCACATGTGCAAAAAATTTATATCAGACAAAATAAGTGTAGCACCTTCTCTATCAGACAACTTTTCGATACTCAGATATTTTTGACACAGCAGAAATGGCCTCCCATGCAGTTGCTACACTTTCGACCGTTACTACACACCAAGTCGGGTTCAGAATCATACAATCTAACGATTTTATAGGGTTCTTGCCATATTGCTATGAGACATGGTTTTGGTCGTCATTCCTCGTACTAATTGCATACAATTACAAAGAAAAAACGTGTGATCATATTAAAAAAAAAAGAAAACAGCACTATTATCTTGTTTTATCAAAAAATCAATGATGTTATATTTTTCAATTGTTTTGAATAATTCCTATTCCCAGACGAAGTATCTGCATTCTGCATAATTTGTTGAATCTTTCTGATCATCTTACTTTGTCCAGGATAATTATAATTAAATTTGTTTAATTGAAAATGTATAATTAAATTAGG